AGCGGAGTAAACATACAAGAGACCACATGGAAATCCCAAGATATAGCTCGGAAGACTTGGAGAATGAAGATCTTACCGAAAGTAGAGTATGAAAGCATTAACAAATGTTAATGTTACTAATTGTGTGGACACATTGTCAAATAAGACATATACACCTGTAATGGCTCAAATATAGCATTTAATGAAATGTGTTGTGAATCATCAGACAGGGTAAATGATTAATGATATGATAATTGATTATTAAACTACTGTATTCCTTGATAACACAAATTCAATATTCCATATCCATCCTGTGTACATATTTTATAGTAATTCTTTACCAACATTTGCGCATCTTTCAATACGTGATTTATTATCATTTTCCAATACAAACAATTTTACGAACTCACTTTAACAATAAATGTAACCATATATTATGAACAAATATTTGCGCATGAAACATTTTTAAAGATCGGACATTTCGTTATAACGACCTGGCATGTCAAAATTATTTCAAAAAAATCTAGAATCATAATTCCGGATTACATGTTTTCACTGAAATTACTTGAATCAAATATAGTAAGTATTAATTTAAGTAATAACAAAATTATAATAATATTATGTGATTTTATGGAAAAACCTGCTCTGTTCTTCTACCTAATCCGATTTTTATTAAGAGAAGTATTTTATGAAACATCACATATGATATGTCAAATTGAAGTAATGTTCAGTAACGTACAGTAATGTAGACATTGTTTGATAAAGGCTTCGGTGAGTATCACAAATATATAAAAGTATTACATATCCACAAATGTCACTTTGAGGTAACCACAATGTGATAGAACTTCAAAGATTGCCGAAGACAACAACATTATTATTATTATACATCTATCCCCGTGACGCCATAAGTTACAGCGTGTTGCAATTTTGTGGTATATTACGGGGTATTTTCAACCTACGAAGACAGCGGAGCGGAGCGGTGGTCGATGCGACGGCGTACTTTCTGAGTGCATACTTTGAGGTATCCTCGTAATAACCCTATTATTATACATCTTTGCTATTCAAGGATACATCAGTCTGGTCAAACCCTGGTGGCAGCTATGTTTGTTTTTATTATTTTATTTGTTTTAATATTATTATTACTTGAATTGGTAAATAATTATAACTTACCCATATTATTAATAATTGAAAGCATGTATGATCAAGACATTTATTTGTATGTTCAATATTTTACTTATTCTTTTATTTATACATATTCAGTAGTTTAATGTTCTTCTCACATTTGGTTAAACACAGTAACTGCTATACTAAATTTAACATAAATATACAACATTTTGCTGCCTTTGAATGTATTTGCAAAGTCTGAAATGGATACTAGTAATTCGGGTTTTGTGCGTGTACGTTAGGCTGGAGTAATTTCTCACACATGCTTTGACCAGTTTGGTTATAAGTTGGCATAGTGACAAGTCATACTAGTAAACAAGTGCACTTGATTGTGGGATTATTTTTAAATGATGTCCATCCTAATCCCCAAAAATGTATTTTCAACGTGTCATCAACCATTTTGTCAGCAATGCTATGATGCCCATCATTTTTTTGTTTTGACTCAAAATGGCTGAAAAGTTGTAATTTTTTGTTTCAGTTTTGTATGTCCCTAGTCATTTCTGTGATATGTTTTAGCCGATTTTGTTTAAAGTTGACACAAGTCCTTGTATCTCTAGTTTAAATATGCTTATCAAGTAATTTTAGAATTCAATCACTTTTGACCTATTGGTGGATAATCTAATTCTCAAAAATCATATTTTGAACCTGTCATCAACCATGACAATCCAATGTCATAAATCTGAAATGCTTTGTTTGATCACATTCAAACTTTACACATACATCATATTATACCTAAGCATACACGTTTCATGATCCAATTTAAGACGGCCATTTAAGTTCTAAATATGCATCAATATCAAGCACTTCTGAACGAGAACTTGCATGGACATATTTCATTCACATTTGGTACATACATTGAACATAAGACTATAATACACATCATTTTTTCTTCAGGTCTGATTCAAAATGGCTGACTGATGGCCATTTTGTTTTAACAAATGCTATTCCAGAGCCATATCACATGTCATTCAACACAAATATCCTGGCTTAAGTTTGTATCATATCTGTCATATCAGTGTCGGCCAAAATCGATAGTAAAACATTAATGTCTTGTATCGGCCTTAGTTTATTTAGTACTTGATGCATGTTGATGATGCATTATTTAATAAAAAAAAACACTAGTAGGTCATTTTTAATCC